AGATGTTTTGCAGCTGGGTGGATCTGGTAGTGAAGATCTAGACAGCATCTGTCACGGGCGAACATTTCTAATCTGTCTTGAACATTAGGCAGAGAGCACTAAAAACCCATCACTGCCTGCTTGTGCGGCTCAGTTCACAACGTGTTCACCCGAGATTCTGAAGAGAAAGTTGAAATTAGATGAGAGCCAAACATATATTTATCAAGGCGAGTGGTAAAGGAGAAATTTTAACTACTACTTTTCCTGTATGGGTTATTATAAACTCCTGTGTGTGTGTGTGTGTGTGTGTGTGTATTTGGCTGAAAAATTTTCAAAAAGCAAAACAGAGGCAAAATGAAGTTATTAGGGCAGAGTGCCTGAGGCTAAAGACCGGGGCTTTGAACTAGAGATCCAGCAGAGCTTAGTGAGGTCAAGATCTGTCAAACAGCAAGCACAACTAATTTCACCGTGCTCTTCTGGAAAGAGGATTTGGTCCAATAACCCCAGTTGTGCATTGTAAAAGCCATATATAAGCTTTTTCTTTTTAATATTTAAGTACAGTACACTTTGCCATTTGCAGTTTAACTTCATCCAGCCAATAAGGCTAAGACCTGTTACAGATAGATGCAGCCCTTTGTATTTTCGCTGAACTTTCTAGAAACACAACACGGATGCTTTTAGCTGACATACTTGGTGTTTGGAACTGTGGGAATCACTTCAAGCTGACCTTGATGCTCTCTAGATATTTCCATTCCTGGGTTCATGTGCCTAGTTACCAGTTGGTCAACCTCGTGCCCTGTGAACTGACCCTGTCCTCCCTGCGAGGTTTGAAAGGAAAAGAAACCCAATCCTCCAGGGAGCGCTCCGACTAACAAGAAAACTGCTGGCCCGAATCTCTCAGAAGTGCTGTGTTTTCCCACTGGACCACTTTCAGCTTAATAAACATCTTAACTAGCCAGAGGTCCCGCGGGAGCTGCTGGGAAATCCTCTGGGCAGCCACAGAGCTCAGGAGCTGGCCTTTTATTGCATCCAGGTGGCTGTTAAAAAATGCTGGCTGGCCATAAATGTCCAATAAAATGCAAGTGGCACCTTCGAGGGTGGACAGGGTCAGTGCACCTGTCTGTGGATGAAAACTCCATCCACTTTGCCTTGTCCAATCAGTTAGATGTCGCATGTTGTGCCATCACAGCACCGGTGGTTTACTGAGTGAGAGTACTGGGCCCGCAGGGTAGAGGGGTGGGGGGGACGCAGGCCCAGAGGTTTAACATTCCTTGTCGAAAAGGCAAACAGACGACCACAAAGAGATGCAAGCAACTGCAAGACGACTCAAAAGTGCTGCAAAGAGTGACCAAAAAAATGCAGCAAACAGATACAAAACCAAGTGCAAAACAGATGCAAAAAGATAGATAATGATCATAATCCCTTGCAATGTCTTCAGTCTCAAAATGACTACAAATGAGACCCAGTCAAAGCCAGTCAGGGTGCCTCGCCTCCATGCAGGATGAAGAGGCTGTACCGTGTTGGCCACGTGGCAAAAAACAGCACAAGTATGTTAAAATGAAGTGTTTCTTCTGCCACGAAGAATTAAAACCATCATACTGCCACAATAATGCACAACGAACTGGTCAATTAGAGGAAAGCTCATTGAAATAGGGTCAGAGAACCGCCCGTTTATGTCTACTTGACACGAACAGTGGCAGCAGCCTCCCTTCATCTGTCCAGTCTGGTCCTTGTCCAAAGGGAGACTTAATTGTCCCGGGGAGGTTTTGGAAAGCTCTGGACGGTGTATTGAGCCTTTGATCTGACTTGAAAAGAGCTAATTGATTTCTGTGTTACAGGCAGCGTTAGAGGAAAGGGAGGGGGGAGAGAAAAAAAAAGATGCTTTCTGGTCATTTCACAACATGTGCCGAAATAACTGAGAGAAAAAAAAAGAGAGAGAAAAGAGGCTGGGAGGGGGTGAAGAGAGAGATCACCTCACACCCGACTACACCCCTGCTCAATTACAATAATTTGACTCACATGGGCTGGCCGACCACGGCAGAGGGAGCGGCGAGGAGAGCTGCTCTGGGAGATCACTCACCTTGCCTCTAGCTGAGGTACGGAAAGACAGATTTGATGTGCGGCTTCCCTCTGAGTGCAGCTCGGGGGCTTGTTAAGATGGCGGCACAGAGAAGACCACACGTCTAACCTCTTGCTTTCAGTCTCAGTGGGGCACTCTAAAACCTGATGATGTCACCATGGAACAAAGAAACAAGAGGCTGACAGAGGTAAGCAGTAAAAAAGTACAACCCGAGCGTCTTTATTTCTTAGATTACACTTACTCATTAATTTTCCTACATGCTTTTGCTGCCCATGAAGGAAAAGCAGAGGTTTTGGCTTTTGAATAAACTCTGTGCTCCCTGTTTGTTTTTAATCATGAAAGTATGAGGTCAGCAAAGATAATGCTGGAGCTCTGCATCTTCTGGTAATGTGATTCGATGCATCACCTGCTTAAGATAGTCCACTTTGGGTCCATCTTGGTTCTGAGTGTGCTTTGACAGGCCTCCTGCCTTTACTGCTTCACCTCACTCAGTCTCTGGTCACCACAGCTCAGGGGGAAACAGAGCTGTCAGAGGCAGAGTGGCAGTCTAAGCCTGTCTTAACACAGCACCTCAAACCACCTCATAAATACAGGCTTCCTTTTCCAATTTCCAAGCGGCCCATCCAGCTCTGTCTACATGCTTGCTCACTGCTCCATGTCATGCACCGGGGTGTGAGTTTAAAAATGACCATGGGACATCTGGTCGACTCACAGAGGGTGGGGCTTTGATGTGCTGCTCTGCAGCTCAGTTCAACTTTAGCTGAGCCAAATCCTCCAGGCAGCGCAAAGCTATTGACTGAGAAGCCTTAAGTAGGTCTGGTAGGTCAGAGATAACTAAGGAGTTCAGGTGCCTTGAAACAGATTTGTCACGTGTGAAAAGCTTAGAGACAGCAGCTCCTAACTACTGCACCTTCATCTAAAAACCAGTGCGGTCCAAAGGCAGGTTGTTTCATCATTTCTCATATCACGAAGCCGAGCAAAAGGAGGAGTGAAAACATGTGAGGCTGTTTTTTGATGGACAGCACTCTCGAGGCTGGTCTTTGCCCTGCCTTTGCCCATCTGGAGCTTTCAGCTACAAGACTTCTTTTACCATGAAAGCAGAACTAGTGATAGGCTTCATCTAAACGTGCACATCTGGCCTCCACGAGTAACATCTCACTCTGCCTGCTGTCCATCTCCAGAAACAAAACCTTGTAACACTGAGAAAAACAGAGAAAGTGCTGTTTCTGCAAATTAGGAGCTGCATGTTTCAAAGCTGGCAGTATTCAAAAGTTCTGTAATTCCCAGCACTTCTAATGAAAATCCTATGATGAAAAGGAGATTTGCTGGGGACTTTTTCCAGTGAAACTTGGCGCTTTGGTGAATATATATATGTATGTATTCAGCTCTGGGCCACAATGGAGTCTGAGGCGCTCTGCTGGACAAACTATGTGATGACAGCATTTCTAAACTAGCCATAGTATTTTTTTCCTCAGCATGATGTTTTCTAGATTAAAGCTTTTAGACTTGCACATATCTGAAACTGGTTCCAGTTTTAATGACCGGTTGTTATAAACCCGTTAAAATAGCTCTACAGATGTCCTGGTCGAATAGCAGAAGGGTATGAATGAGACTGACTCTTAAACTACAGTACCCACGGTCATTCTAATCAATAAGTTTGCTTACAAGTCTTCTATAATAATGCTCCATGGCACAGAAATAAGATATCTGCTATCTGTCATTTTTTAAATTACTAATTAAAAAATAATATTATCACCAAATTTAGTTAAAACAAAAAAATATTAAAAAAAAAACATGGCAGGGGATTAATTAATATAAGCACTATTAATATCAAATTAATCAAATACTTCATTGTTTACATACATTAATGATCACCTTTGCTTGTACAGTGTAAGTGTGAATCTGAAAACGTACGGTGAACTGTATATGTGCACTTTACACGCAGCGGGGGACGGGGCTGTCACCGTGCTTACATAAGTGTCACCTCTTCACGAAGAAAGCGGTCCTCTGTGCAGAGGAATCCTCTGAAAAGAGCAGTCAAAGCAAACGCTCACACAGAGACATCACCTGTTGTGTGCTATGCTGGACACCTGCAAATAGCAGAAGTCTTCAGTAATTCTGAATGCAAAAGTTCACAATGCAGTATGATTAGCACTATAAGACTCTAATTACCAACAGCGACATTTATCTATTCACGACTTTCTGATACTAATTACCCCTGCACAAATGTGAGAATGGATTCTTTTGCAATTTAATTAGTTGCAAATTACACATGAAGAAAAAGGAGACAAGTTATGTCTCAGTACTCAAGTGTAAATTCTGCTTCTAAATTTGACCTCTATGTGGCAGCAGGGTGTTGTTTAGTTTATTTAAAAAAAAGATAAACAAATAATTTCATGTAGGTTTGTTTTTAATGTTTTGAATATTAAGAAAAAAATGTGCAAATAAATATTACAATATTTGAAAATCAGCTTTATAAAACCCTCGAATTGATTTTCCTAACCAGTTTCCTGTAGCAAACTGCAGCTGGGTGAATATATATGGCATCTGAAACTGTTCTCGGTGACTCAGTGGAGGAGTCACTGCTGACGTGGGTGGGCGCCTGGGGTAAGCGCTCCCGTGTCCCAAGGCTCTGCTCATTCTTGCAGCGTGCTGCTCATGATAAACCTCTTGACGGAAAGATGCTTCTGCTGGGAAATGAACGTTAGACTGGCCTTTTCGTGTGTGATGAAGCTGCCTCTCTGTTCCACTCCGACTGCTACTTACTGTCAGCATGTACCCGTTACCCTGATGAGCAATATGTGAGTCACAGCTAACATACTTTCATGAATGAATCTATTCAGGAATACTAACTAGAAAAGATGAACTTTGAACGTGATGGGTGAAATAAGACAAAATGCAAATTTAGAAAAGTAACCGTCATGAAAAATAAATTATTTTGTCAAATTTAATTGTGCACAGTTGTAGCAACTATTTAAAATATTCAAAGTATTGAATTATTTAAATACAATCCATCATCCCAGTATCTCCATAAGGACTATTTTTTCCCCTTTTTTTAAATTACACAATTCAAAATTGTGGTGTAATTTGATAGTTCATGATTGTTCTGAATAATCCCCTTTGTCCGTCTGTACTCTCTCAGTCGCTGCGACTCTGTCAGCTGAGACGAGGCTCGGTGACAAGTTACAGAACAATGCTTCGCTCTGTGCTGAAGTTGTACTGAAACTGCAAAGAGAAGAAGAAGACAAAGAGGTACACACACTGTTAACAGAATAAAAACATCACCAACAATTACATCAAGCAGCAAATCCACCAAAAATCAAATGTTACAGTCAAACATTTTCATAACTATAAACTAAAAAACAAACTGATTTAACATTAAAGAATAATTTGCTACTTTCCCCAAAGACTGAGAAACTAAACAGAACCACTGCCCCCTTGTGGCTTGGCATGGACAAGGCTAGAAATAAAGTGAGAGCCTGAAACACTGTTGACTTCTGTGGCGTTAACGACAGGAAATGCTTCATTTTTTTGTTTTGTTTCAAAGATTTTATGCATGTTTATTATTTAAATTAGTTTTTCCAAAAAGATCAAAATCCAACTGAGTAGAATTAAAATTTTAGTGCCACAAACCTGTGATGTCATGTTTAAAAAAACAACACTGAACGTCAAAGACTGTTTTTGGCCTTGATATGGAAACACTACAGACTGACATTAATGAATACCTCTGCGAAGGCGTGGTTTATAAATTTAAACGTTTTCATTCAGTCAGTTTTCGGAGCCACTCAATCTCTGGCTTCGATTAACCATCATAAAAAAATGACTGCAGAGCTCTTGGGGGTGATGTGCACATGTTAAATTTGTGGTGGCTGTGGTGTGTGATCTGAAAAAAAAAAAGCCAAAAACAATAACACTGCTGGCCCTAAATTATTAAACGACATCTCTGAAATACTGAAGTTTTCATGATTTTGTTTGTGAGCGCTTTCTGGAAACTTTTGCACCAAAAGCTGTGCCCACTCCACCAAGTTAGACAGCTGTTATTACTGCAACGCAGCACTAGGTGATGCTGTATGATCACTCAAATAAGTTTCTCCAACTGACTCCACAGAGCCACAATGGCTGAAATCGGCTTCTCCGGATTCAAAGCACCACCTTTCCTCATTTTCATCTACTTGAGGGGGGAATCTGCAACTTACCCAAAAGCTGTCACATATCACAAGCCCGTTATTTGCGAAAAGAAATTCTACCTCCCCCCACTTCACCGCCACCAACACCACACAAAAATTCAGTCTCTAACATCTGGCACAGTAAATAAATATTCCTGCGTGTACGTGTGTGAGTGTGGATGATGGATGGGGGAATGGGGTGTTATCAGGGAGAGCATGTATCAATGTCTGCCAGTTTTACACACAGGCTGACAGGACAGTGACACACTAGAACATGGGCGGCAGTCACCCAGACGAGCCGGGCTTCATTTCCTGTCCCTGCTCCACTGCCAAAAATATGTGACATGTTGTCTTCATTAATTCCACCTCTATTTGGAGCTCTCCCTCTCACATACCCCCTGTACACTACTGTCCTGCCATACATTCACATGGAAACGCACAGTCACGCAAACATAAGCAGGAAGAGAAGCACACACACGCACACACACACACACACCCAACTCCCCACAAGCACTGAAAACTAATCATACATAGGTGCTAATGAAAATCTTGTCATGTGTGGCTACACACTTCTTTTCCACCCTAACGTACTCCCTCTGAAAATCATTAGCCAGCCGCCAACAACATTTTTCAGCAGAGCAAACTACATAAAGACGTCACTTTAAATCGCTTACTAATTAACACTTAAAAAGACACAAATTAGATATGCGTGGCTAAAAGCAATTATAATATCCGCAAGTTTTGCGAGTCATTTGGGAAATGAAAAGAATGCCTAATTGCTGGAACCAACATCATCTGAGACATGGCTTAAGTGATGCCTGTTAGGAAATGGTCTTATCTACAACTGTGGCTGTGATTACAACAGTTTTCCTCAATTACATGTGCATATGTAGAATTCTGGAAAGCGCATCTCTTCCATGAATCTATAATTTTAAAGGGATTTAAAAAGGAGGCAATTAGGTTCTGTGCAGAAAGCGCCTCCAGTTTCTGAATAAGGGCGGAAAAAAAGAGAAGGAGCCCTACAGTGAGGCACGGACAGTGACCTCTTCTGGACAAGAGAAGAAGAAATCTACTTGCAGCTGAGGGACAATTAGATCCAAAACAGCTGCCTTTTTTTGTCTTGTTTTGTTTTATACAACCACAAATAAAGTTCTGCTTCTTTAGCAGCCTGGAGAAAAGAAAGACAAGAAAAGAAAAGAAAACACGGTGGATATTAAATTAATAATGTAGCACAGACCCGGAAAAAAAAGGAGAAAATTTACAGACAGGATGTTTTCCAGCGTGTTTGCGAGAATATCACAGACTACGTTTCCACCCCCCACCCCCTCCTTTGTCCTGCAGATATCATTGTGGGGTAATAATAAGAGGAGAGAAGTAAAAATAACACAATGGTGAGGGATGTTTCCACTTGGAAACTAATTATCAAGCTAAGCTGTGACTTCATCCTCATCAGCCTGGCCCCACCATTAATCTTGTGCTGTCGTCCACTTCACTAAATCTTGTGTGTTACACTATCTCACATTTACTTCATCAGCTCCAGCGCGGCTGTAATTAATGATTTCTCATGCCCTTCCCTTCTCTTCCCCAGCTCAGCTCACCATGTGTCCTCCTGCTAATCACACTCTCGGAGAAGAAAGGAAGGAGGAGGAGGAGAGGAGGAAGGATGAGAAGAGGGGAGAGGAAGAAGGGGGGGGGAAAAAGAACATATAGGATGAGCAGTCAGGCTGTCTCCAACCCGGACACACACACACTCACTCACATACACATATATGTACATGCCATTAATACCTGTGCTGACAATGAGCTTCATTCAGATGACCATATGACAAGATGGCGACTCTGTGTGATTTGGATAGTATATGACAGAAGACAGAGGCAGAGTGCAGAACAGACACCCGGTTTGATGAGGGAGTGTTTGCTCTGTAACACATCTCAAACCCAACAGCACCTGTTCTTTTACAGTGGTCTGTCACTTCCTGGCAGTTCTGATACCGAGATACCGTGCTAATGAGAGAGAAGGGGGGTTGTCACTCTCTTTAAAGCACACGCACACACACCTACACACATTCGCACGCGCACGCTCGCTCACACAAAGACATAGCGGCTCTCTTTCTCTTTGCCATCACAAACACATGAGCTCCAAAGAAGGAGCTGCTGCACACAGCTGATCTGCTTCATACGAATGCCTGTAGGCTACAGTGTTTCATCAGAAATGTGGAGGGCTTTGTGGCGCTTTCTACTCACTCGGCGTGATCTCTTAACTTTTTATTTATTTATTTTTAACTGCAAAGCTGATTGGAAACTTAAAAAGTTTATGTGACCGGAAAAAGGCTCCTTAAGATGTACGGCGCTGCTTGCGAGATTCTCGATTGAGCTGTGTGAGAGGTGGGGGGGGGAGAGTAGAATTGGGGGAATATAAGTCAAGTGTTTTGGAACAGGATACGAAGCTTTTAAGAAAGAATGGCTGCCTAGCTTGGCCGTGCTTTTATTCAATTGGGGCTTAGTGGAGCCAACAGGGCCTCGCTGTCTCAGACACTTAATTACAACCCCAAGACCGTTTGCTTTGCATTCTGGGCCAGCGGCGTCAGCGGCAGCCGAGCATTGCAGCCTCTACTCACTTCCTCCTCGATGTCTGCCAGGGATTTGATCGTAATGCCCATTAAATTGACTTGCTGCATCTGAAATCAAAAGCAGGGGAGAGGAGGAGGGAGAAGGAGAAGGGGGAAGAAAAAAAAAACACACACAAGAAACATGGCGGTTAGGCTCATGGCTAAGTAAGCATGCTTAAAATCTTTAATCCTCTCCCTCTCTGTGTCAATACAAACGGGGCTATAGTGACAACCACCGCCAGCCAGCCAAATGGACTGCATTGAGCCAGCTCTGCCTGACTGCACGCATTCATCACTCAGTCAGGAGGAAAGGAAAAGGAAAGAATAGGGAGAAAAAAAGGCGAAGAAAGGAAGAAAAGGACAGAACTAGTGTTCACCTGAAGAGAGTTTGTAGGAAAAATCATCGGCACCTTCGTAAGGAATCATTTTGCAGTTTGTCACTAGAGCCACGAAATCTTTTGATTTATTTATTTATTTATTTTTTTACCTCTTTGGGGATTTTTTGCAAAAACTTCTCCGAGATCAGAAAGGGCACATCATCCAAAGCTGCAAAAAAACAAAAAACAAAGTTGAAGTCTGACTTTTATACATAAACATAATACTCCCCACTCTTGATCCCAAGAATCTCCACGAGACTAAACGTGGGATTATAAAAACAGCAAAGCTATCAACATCCCCAGCCACCCTGACACCTCCCTTCCTTCCGTCTACGGAGAGAAGATGAAAGGCTTTTTTTTTTTAATTCTCCGCTGTATTTGAGCACCTCCACTCTCTCTCCTCCAACCCAGCCCTTTCCCAGCCCTCTTCCAGTTTAATTACTCTTGATTATTCCCGATTCCGTCTTGTCTGAGAGATGTTCACCTCCGAAACAAAGACACACTCACACTAGGCACAGAAAAGCGGAAAGAAGAGAGACAAAACATTCACCAGATATCAAATTTGCATGAAAATAAGCCGCACTGTTCAGCTGGCAAAAAAAGTGGATTGAAATGAGGACTTGCCAAGAGCGTGGTGGTATAATTAGCATTTGACCAAACAAACGAGCTTCAACAGAGCTATAATTAAGCAGGCCTGTAATTAAGTGTATGCCCTTTATCATAATGATCGTGGTTAAAATGGTGTGATGGCTGCCAGTTGATTATTAATGGTGTAACCCCGTCCTGCATGCATCCTGCACTGGAATCAAGGTGTCACGACTGTCAGGCTAGAGAGCAGCCCTTTGTTTATAAAATACATTAGGGCCCAAATTAACACAGGGTGACAAGAGACACAAAGCCTCTCGTTTCCAGACTGAAGGGAAAACTGCAGCTGCTCGGCTTCATTAGAAAACTCCCAAATCTGGAGGCACAAAACTTGCTGCAGTCGACTTCAACGCGAGCCCCAAATATCAAGAGGCCGAGCTTCCAACTGGTGTTCTTTCACCCGCAGTCCATCAGGCGCTGGCACAGGAAACGGAACTCATAAACGTAAGCCAGAGCTGTTCATGAGTCATCGTTTTGGGGGTAGAAAGGATGGGGGGGGCTGAAACTCCTTTTGGCCTTTTCCTGTTCACACAGCAATATCTGAAAATTATGAAATTCTAAAATATCCCTCACTTTGACACTTATGCGAGTTGCTTTCCCTTTCTTTTTTTTTCTAGGTTATTACACAGATCCACGGTTTGGCACTTTCCGCACAAGTGCAGCACAATGTGATCTTTGTAATCAAAGCGTGACCCGCGCCCTGCGTGACCGCAGGAAAGCTCGCTCACTTCCTCGGATTCCAATCATCTCCCGTAGTAAAAAGTGCAGCAGTAGCAAGACTCTGCGACCGTGATAGCCGTTTTGTACTTAAACACAGCGGCGTTTTCCCCTGTGCTGCTGTTCTCCATGAGCCCCTGTTTCCCCTGCCTATCCCAGCCCAGAGCGCTCCTGCTGATTCCAACTCTCTCTCTCGGGTAAATAAAGGTAAAAAAGTTCTGTGTACATAATTGCAAAAATAACAGACTAATTTGGAATTGTTACACTAATTAGCACTTAATTAACAAATTAACAAAGCTAGCACTTCTGTGGTACAGTTAACACAGGATTCCCGAAGGAGACACAAACACAGTCTTAAGGCGTCACAAGCCTTTGTTGAAAAATGTCATGTGAGTCAATATATGACATAAATTTGAGCTGATTGATACTAGATGAAGAGTTCATGCATTATCAAAATGATTGCATTTCAGGAAAGTCGGTGGATCACCAAAGTTATTACTCCTCTGTGCACCACCATTCAATTTTCTGGTAACAAATCCAATATTTAGAATAGTTCAGACTGGTTCAAAATCAAGAGACATTACTATCAAGCAAGCGATGTCACAAGTAGGTTTTATAGGTGCTAGGAGTAAAAACACATTGAGCCCGATCTCATCTCCCTGCAGCGGTTTTGAATGCGTTGCTATTTGAAGCAGAGGGCAACTAGGTAGGCATGATGGCTTGTTCAAGCTCGGGACTACAAGTGAATAAACATGCACTCTGTTGCTGGGAGTACCAACGCCAGGCACAAGTAGGCAGGGAGAATACATCTGAATCAATAGCCAGCAATGGGAAGCAGAGATTGTAGCTGCTGATGGATCTGCGTGGCACAGACAGATGAATGGACAGTGCTGAAGGCCAGAGAGTTTCTTTATTGCTCAAGGATTACATTTAAAACCAGATCCCACTTTGTATTCCTCCCCCATCTATACCAGAGAGGCTATCTTACATCCAGACAAATGGAAAAGCACGGGTGGTGACTTGGTGGTAAGGAATGGATGCTGTACTGAGGAGAAATCTGAAGGTGCAAAGGGCAAAAATAATGTAAATCCAATCTTCTGAGCAGGAATCCCAGTATGAAGCATGTTCTAGCTGCTTAAATGGCCCCGCTACACTCCATTAACTCATGAGTGCATTGCAGTGCGGGGAACTGGGCAGTTATTTGGCATTTGGAGCCTGTCAGTATATTCAGCACAAAAACATCTGGAAGGAATTTTGGCATAGCGTCTAAGATGATGATGGTGATGATGATGATGATGATGATGATGGTGGCAGTGAACACAGAGGTGGTGTTAAGTAAGGAGGACCCTGCGGATTGAGTGATTGTAGTGTAAAGAACGAAGTCAGCACAGGCCCCGTGTGGATCATCGCCTTATTAATGGCTCCGTCAGGTGCGATGAGCAATGGCTGCATTGTCATCTCCAGCCCCTGGGCACAGATGAATGGCTGTTTCAGGGCGGGAAGGGCTCCCTCGTACGCTGGGCTGAGCACTAATCCCTCACTCTTCCATTGTTGGATGCACTGTCACCCAGGATTTCAGCAGTGCCATACATTGCATTTCCAGGGCTCTAACAAACATGGCCGCGTGTAACGCAAGTGGCGGCATACCCACAGACACACACACACGAACACATAAACCACACCGAGTTGTGCTCCGACACTGACTGATGGAAAAATATGCGTGGGTGATCGAGCATACCCCATATTACCTGAACCACAACTGGAGAGTCGCACTTTAGGAATGTTGATGAACTTTTATTTTACACTTCACTAATTCAGCAGAATTGCATTGATCTCTGTCTAGTATGATTACTTGGGTGAATCTGACTCGCAGCTGAATTGGAGAGGGGATGGGGGTGGGGGTGGGGGCGGGGAGGCGGAATCAGGGCGATTATGCGAAAAGTGCAAATGAACGTCTTTTACAAGTTTTTACTCGTGATCGAGCTGCCATCTATTGTTTTGTGTCACAAAATAATCTGAACATAGAAATAATAATTTTAAAAAAAAGGTTAAAGCTTTATCTGGTGGCTGCTGCATTTCATATGCCAAACAATTGGATGCTGCTTTTTTCTCTGTGTGTAGCCAGAGCTAGACATGGCACTGCCTCCCCTGTCGGTGAGACTCTCAATTTGAGTTGGATTCTTTATGCAGACCATGGAAATGCTATTCTAGCTGCTGCAGACCCTGCTCTCTGTCACCTCTGCAGATAATGGTGAGTAGATGAACAGAGAGCTGGAGGAGGACCCCCTATGCCCACTCACAGCCCTTAGCCTGAGTCTGACATGAGAAATAGTGCCCAGGCCTGACAGCATCTCGGAGACATATTGTAGTTTATTTTGTCGCCCGGGCATGCCATCTGTGCCATTCCAATAGAGGGTGTGTGTTCAGGCTGCTGCAAGAGAGAGGGCGCGAGGCTCTGGGTCCCTCAGTAGCTCTGCAGCCACGGCAGGTCATTAGTCAAATTGCCTAATGAGAGAGAATACAAATGGCCCCCTACCCTGACAGGAGGAATTTTGGAGGTGTCAGAGCTCCTGACCCGTGCTATGAGAACAGATGATAGCGAGTTGCTATTTTCAGATTCTTTTAATGACTATGGCTCTATGAAACCCATTCTTTTTCTTTTATCTTTTTTTCTCCTCCTACTTTTTCAACCCCTCTAGACAGATGAGTGAAAAAAAACTTTGCAATAGCGGAAATGTAACTTTTTAAATTATTAAAATGTTTACCGGGGAGTCGATTAACATTCTAAAAAAGAGAGTAAAACGCTGATATTAAAATAGATCCCGCACTGAAGTGATGTTGAGGGTTTCTGATAATCTATTTTTATTTTCTTTCTGCCGGCTGTGTGCAGTTTGTTTCCGCAGCGGTCTCACGGCAGCAGTGTGTGCGAGCTTCTCTCGCAATTCTCCCGACAGTCAGTCAGTTAGTTTATACTGAAATATTAATTTCATTTCGTCCTAACGCTTAAAAAACGTAAACAAGCTTAAAAGGTTTCTGAAGCACTAAGAGTTCGCCGCATAAGATCCAGTGGATGAATGCATTTATAGTTGCATGCTACAGGCTGGGGCTGCTACAGAGTTCAGGAATCGTGGAAGGAAAGCGTCGAGTGAGTTGAGAGAAACTGCACCATTGTTTAAAACTCACTCTTTGTCCACTTGACTGCTTATTTTGATCTTTAATCCATTAAATTAAGTAAAACAGTTACTTTCCTAACATATAAGATAAGATAAGATAACTCTTTATTGTCATTGCACAGTCATACATAGTACAGTAGTACAATGAAATTGGAAAACTGTCCTACGTTGGCACTACATATAACACAACACGACACGATATGACACATCACAACGCAACAAACAACACAACACAGTATATTAACTTAGTATAAAAAAGAAGAAGAAGAAGAAGTGTATGAGAAGAATAAATGTATAAATGCAGTGTATAAATAGAATGAGATATTAAATTGGCTTTATAGTCAAACTGTAAGCAGAGCTGCAGCTGAGATTTTCGTGACAAGTACCAAAAAGTAACGAGACAGACTGGCAAAACTAGCAACAGACTCAAATGGAGTCTGAATAAACTGCTTTATTGTTGAATTCACCAGTGTTAAAATTTTGCTCTTTGTTACCAGAGGGGTGCAAAACGACATGCTTATGTAGAATGACCCACTTATTTTTCCATCTGTGACAAGCAGTCCTTGAAATCTGGTTGTGGGTAGGGAGCCAGCCGACAGCCTCAGTCGGGCGCTGGTCCATCAGTCTTCCAGAA